AAAAATTTGGTCTTGTTTCCGATCCTTCTCAGAAACATTCATCAGGGCACTCCTGCTGTTTGGTGTGGAGCAGCCCTATTGCAGCCCCAATCAACTCACTCTCTGGGTTACTCTGCCACTGCCAAGACTTTCTGAGCTGAGTGTCGGCAGGCCGAAGCACTAGGTTTACAGAGCTTTTTATACCCCCTCACCCACAATTGTTTTTAATCTAGATTCTCAGTACGATAGGCTGAGGGAGAGAGAGTATTTCTTGCAGTCTGAACTTTTTAAATGAACAGTAGTCAGAATTGGGGAGAATGTCATTATCATTTCTTGTGGCTATTTCCTGTATAGATCATATTAAATTTGTCATTATGTTTTGGGCTGCTACTAGTCATGGCTGTCTGTGTCTGCAGAAAAGCCCAACAAATGAATCACTGTGGTCTCACACAGGGGAAGCCTCAGTGCTGATGTCATTTCCTGACAAGGCGCTACTCTTTGACAACACCACATGACACATTATTCTGATGAAACATGATGAAAGCGGCCGTCATTACTCGGAAAAGCATGCTTGGTAAATATACTCCAACTGCATTTTTATCCATATTGACCCAATCCACACTTTATGTTTTCCAGTAAATATGATACACACTTATTTTCTGCTAAAAAGCAAGGAATAATTAAAACAACTAAAAGCACAAGTTAGGTTTGCTTCTTAGTGGAGTGTTTATGTCTACATCAGGCAAATCATTATCAAAAAAGAAGTTATTGGCTAAAAGAGATGTTTCCTATTCTTTATTTTATTTATTGACTTAAACTTAGGAAGAATAAAAACAGAGGAATTATTTCCCAAAAGTACTAATATGATCACCTTATGAGTTCTGAGTTAATGTGAGTCCATGATGGATTTTTGAAGAGCTGGACGTGCAAATGTAAACTCTTCACATTTTCCCACGCACAAAAACTCTGCCAGCAACTCCAGAATTAAACATTTCAGCAAATATGTTCTGGTCATTCTCTGAAACTGGAGGAACATGGACCATTGTTTACCAAAACTGACTTTTTTCCTTGTTTGTTGAACAAAAATGTTGGCTCCAGTGTAACTTTCAGGCAACATCTTCCATCAGGAGCCGGTCATTTCAGGAGTGCTGTGTTAATGTACGCCTGTTGGAGCGAGCGCAGACAGCATCGAGACATTTTAA